ACCTTTTTAGCTCAATAGACGCTACGTGGGTAAATAAACTATTGTATTGTATTGTATTGTTGTTTTGTTCGGAGGCTCTCAGCTCTGTACAGTACAACAAAATGATCCCCGTAATGGACCGCAAGTGATCCCCGTTGTTGACCGCAAGTGATCTCTTGTAAAGTAGAGGAATGGAATGGATTTTAGGCATAGATGGTGAATGTGCTGAGAACTTGAACAACGAGTAGAACGATGAAATGGATAAAACTGTAAATGACTGAACTGTTTCTTTTGGCAATTTTTTTTGTCCTTCCTTTTAAGCATTTGATGTTTCGTTGCTGTAAAAGATCTAGGACAGGAAGGACGTTAAGAATGAAACTTGTCTTTCATTTTAACGCCTAGGAATAGGAAAATATGACCACTGTATTTATCACTCTGTAGAGGTTTCGGGGTTATTTCGAAATACACTCCTGAACTATGTACAGCTCTTGAAAATGTCGCGTCTTGTGGTAAGGACTCTATTATATGAAAGAAGATCATCGCGGTCACGATGAGGAAATACTGCCAGAAACCTGTGTATTCAAGAGAGATGCAAATTCAGGGAAAGATCGAGAAACGAAGGAACTATTAAGTGGAAAATTTTGTATTTATGTGGAAAATTTTGTATTTATAAGCAAACAATTCTCCTAATGGGGTTGTCACTTGCGAAATATCCTTATTCAGGATCTTGTTACTTATGAATGTAGATGTAGATGTAAAATTTTTTAAAAGCGAACTGTTTTCGTGTTTACCGAAAGTTGATCACTTGATTAAGTAATGCAAAGGGCTTGTATTTAAATACTTTTTGTTTCGATAATAAACGTGACACAAAGGTCCGGTAATTTGAGTCCTGGAGGATCATTTACGGTGGGGGATCATTTGCGGTAACGTACAGATCAGCCGGTTCAGTACGAGCTCAGGGTGTTCCTAAACAGAGTAAGACAGTAACGAATAACCAGCGACGTAGTAACGAGCAAACAAGTAACGTGATAAAAATTCAAGGGAGTAAAAAAAAAAAGATAATAAATCGTAACAATGGGTATAATATTCAAATGGTGTCCTTTTTCAATCGCGGTAAAAATATGTACGTGTACAACAGGCAGGATCAATAATAATCAAGTACAGTCGACTCCCGGTAACTCGAACCCTCTATAACTCGAACCTCCCGCTAACTCGAAGCAATTTTCATTTCCCTTTAGAACATTTTCTATATAATTTTACCCTCGATAACTCGAACTCCCGATAACTCGAACTGTTTTCTATTTCCCTTGAAGGTTCGAGTTATCGGGATTCGACTGTACCGTGAGGAGATTGCAAGCAGGGGATCAACGCGGCTCCACGGAAATCGAGCCTAGACAGTATTTCCCGACCAGAACTCGGGTAAACTTAGTGAGCTCCAATTCCGGCACTCCCTGTATATCTTACTGAGAAAGATGCGGTCTCTGGCAAAATATACACCACGTCCGTAGGCTGATCGTGGAAGAAAAGAAATGGTAAATGAGTTATTGTTAGTTACAGAGTTATGATAATGCTCTGCCTTCCTCTTTTCCAAAAATGAGATATACATACCCGTCGTAAAAAGTACCAGCAGGTGATGTTAACAATTGTACTGGTGAGTGGGTGTTCAACACGAGCAAGGTTTGGAGAAAAAAGTATAGACACTTTCAAACAAAAACAAACGAGAAATGTTTTGAGTCCAAAGGTCAAATCTACCTGACGGAGCATGTATTGATCAGCCAGGGAACACGCAAACTCGACGTTTGCTCCCCTTGTGCCAGCGCGTGTCCTCAAAATTTCTCCCTTCGCCCTAAAAAGACCAGCGCCTGCTGTGCAAGCTATAGATTTTGCAATAACGTTACATTTTGCTCGATATGTAATGGGCGTGTCCTTCAAAAAGTGTTATCAGTTGAACATGGGCAGATTTGGAAGAAATATAAAATTATAGACATTTTAACCCAGATGATTGGTTTTGTGCCCCAAGGAAAAACTCTTTTATAAAGTCGTGAATTGAATTAGCCATCAGCTCGAGTATACTTCTTTCCTAAAATTGTACTACGCACAGTGCGCCACTAAAACGCCTATTGATAGCGTAGGTTCCATGGAACAGCTGTCGTTCGTTATTTCCCCCATTGTCTTTAGCCATCTTTTACTTTCGCACCATGTACTGCTTGTAAAAATGAGGATTCTGGATTCGCTCGATTTCCTGGATTTGCATTCCGCCACCTGTTACTCGAAATTTGCTGGCGACATTTTGATACTCAGAGGAGCCTGGGGCGAGAGTCACAGTGTCATATCAGAACTTGGCATTGGAGCCCAGGATATTGAAACAAAAAGTTACTTTAAGTTTTAATTCGCTGAAAGAGTGAATAATTGATTTATGGTGTGTCTGGATGGTAACTTTAAAATAGGAAAGCAATTATCTCCGAATTGTAACTCGAAAAATGTACTGCAGGAACTACAGCTCTGACTGCTCTGGATGGTGTACTGATATTTTTATGTCAAGCGAGTTGTGGGTTTAAGCTTTAAACCTCGCGGAGTCAAAAGGATTTAGCAGTGTGCACAACTTGCTTAATGAAAAACCATTCAAGATCATTATTTATTATATGGCTGAATCCGCGAGCGAGCTTGATGAAGCGAATCCTGCGAATCCTGTTGCCCGAACGGGCAAGATGAGCCCATTTTGCGCTCTCGGGATTTCTCGCGTTGGTCGTGCAAGCAAAAGTTTTCTTTTTGGCAATATAATAAATCCTTTTTTAACCAAGCTTGTTGGGTAAAGATGGCTGAATATTGCCCTCTTTTTTTTGCGTTTTTATTGACCTTGTTGACTCCGTCTCGGTCAAAAACAAAAAAAAAACGCAAAAAAGAACTTGACCAATATTCAGCAGCCATCTTGAGCTAACGCTTGGTCAATTCTCTAACCTTTTTCTGCTACCTTGATCTTTCTGGAAAGTGTAATTTTCTCACCATTCTGCATGCTGTGGCCAGTTTTATGACAAAGTTTTCTGATTGTAAAGATATCCTTGCTGTGCGCCATCTCAAGCTTTCCATTTGTCCTCGGGCTAAACACTTTTTTCTTGCCATGTATTTCATAACTCCATTGTATGTTTTTTGAAACCATTATCGCCTCCTTGTCTTCCTGTATCTTCTTGTTTTTCCCGTAAATAGTGTGCCATATCTTCCCGACCATACCTGCCCAGCTTCAAGTGGATCACCTGGCACAACTATGCAATCCATATCATCATCAATTTCAAGTCTGACGTCACGGTGTTGGGCTTTTCTTCTCAGATTTTTACTCTGCTTTTACGTCAATTCACGGACGGTCTCGTTTTTGACTTTTTGAGTGGTGCAAGCTTTGGAGAAACCCTTCTTCTAACTTTCCACAGCTTTACTTACACTCCTGTTATCCTTTCCTGTCACAGAATAATCACCTGTTGAACTCAAATTTGTTTCACTATTTCCTGTCAGCGTAACAGCTTTACAAAAGGAATCAGTTTCCTGGTCGTTCGTATTATGGACTACCGCCCGCTGTTGCACTTGACAAAAATCCGGAATCATTTGAGCTTGAAAGACCACAATGCGCAGGTGGCGAAAGGTTTTACAAGTTTTGCTGAATGAATCCAGAGCTTTGAATGTTACTTGTGCCGAGGCAGCCCAAGCGCACTATGTGTGGGTTCGGGCTTCAGAGGTCATTTGGTCGGAATATACTAGAATTATTAGTGTATTATCTGATGCTAAATAAACGGAAAAATCTTAAAGATATTAAGTCTTCTTGTTTGTCTATCTGTATTAGGAGCCTTTAAGATAACGAAGGTCGATATTTCTTGCATTATGACATGTGATTCGGGCCCTTATTGTTCGAATTCTATCACATGTATTCGAATCTACAACGCCAAGAAAAAAAATCATTATCTCTCACGCGAAATATTGATTCAAAAAGCTCCCTTACCTTTAGTTCATAGCCACTCTGTGTCCTACGGCCGGTTTAAGCGCCGTTTAGTCGACTTTCTTTCCATCGAGTACTGATGAACACTATCATGAATCAGTACTCGATGGAAAGAAAGTCGACTAAACGGCTGAAATGCCTCGTTTAAATGATCCTTCTTGCGCTTGTGAAATCTTTGTGAAAAAGTATACTTCAATTTACGATAAATGTTTCCATTAAAGCGAAATGGCTCAATCTTCGTAAGCCTTGGTTTACTAAAGGTCTTGCTAAATCCACAAGGAAGAAAAATATGTTATATAAGTCTTTCCTTAATAATCGTAACATTCTCTCTGACAATCAGTGTGGTTTACCCTATAGTTCCAGGAAGCCTATAGTTTATAAGCCCCCGGCTTCTATATAGGCTTCCTTGCCATTGCTACTTTAAACATTTGATCTTGTAAACAATTTAGTTAGAATATTGTATATTAGTATATACACACTCAGTGATCTTGGTGATTTAAGCAATCTGATTGGTTCGCTATCTCGGACTATTCAACAATATTCACCTCCCAGCGAGTGGATAATGTGTGCGTTTATTCGCCTAGAAGAGGCCGTTTGGTGAACTCTGCGTTTCCTGACATGAAAATTCTGGCCCAAAAACGAAGTTTATTTATGACAAGCAAATTTGAAAGCAAATGTTTGCAGAAATTCTACATTTCAAGTAAACACGAGAAAGAATGCTACATGAAGACGACGTCTTACCTCGAGGAACCGAATCGCCATTTTTGCCAGCACTTCATGCGAAGAACGACACAACAAACCTTTTCGGCTATAAACTTGGCGAGTCAACAGAAAACAACAAAGCTCTTCTTTTCTTCTCAGGTAAGGAAACAATTCAAACTTTTAGCGGTTCCATTTAAGTCATTACGCTGTTGTTTGCGAAGTGATAAGCTTGTGAATTGCCATGTTTGAAAATTCTACAAAGATCTATTTTTAAACTGTCGCGTGTCTAGCTGACCTGATCTGTCAATCAAATCGTACTTTTTAATGGTTTCCTCTCTGATTTTGTTGAGATCACTTCGTGTGTATATACTAAAACAATTATTCTTTTCAATCTCGGTGAATAGTGGCTTTAGGAATATTTACCTCGCCACTTCGTGGCTCTGTAAATATTTTGCCACTATTCCCCTCGATTTCAAAGAATAATTGTTAATTATCTTTAATGTATTATAAATTTCTGTATACTGTTGTTGTATTTCTGGTCAATGCCAAAAATGAATGAATGAACACGCCGGGTCAGCTGTCATCAAAAAGTAAACATTTTCAATCTAGTTTTTCAATTTTTAACCGTTTGAGCTAAGACTTTGCATGGTAATAGAACTTCGGAGTCCCAACAATCGTATGTTTTTGGATTTTTGATTTTAACGGTTTTTGGCGCGAAAATGACGTCATAAGATTGACAGTAAAAAGTAGTTTCCGACTTATGGCGTAAAAAACTAAAAATTTTAAAAGAACTTACAGAGATGAGCTCAAATGTGAAAAAAGTATTTGTAAAGCTTAATTAATTTTGAGCTGTGAATTTCGTATTTTCCGCCATTTTGTTATTATTTTTAGCAATTTGATGATCTTTAAAATGTCATATCTTTTTAACCAAGTAAGGGTTTCAAAAATTTTTTTCACATTTAAGTTCTTCTCTGAGTACTCTTTCAAAATTGCTAACCTGTTATGGCATAAGATGAAACTTATATTTTGCTGTCAATCTTATGACGTCATTTTTGCGCCAAAAACCGTTAAAATCAAAAATCCAAAAACATACGATTGTTGGGAATACAAAGTTCTTTTACCATGCAAAGTCTCAGCTCAAACGGTTAAAAATTGAAAAAGTAGATTGAAAATGTTTACTTTTTGGTGACAGCTGACCCGGCGTGGAATGAATCCTAGCTAACCGCGCTGGCTCGGTTGTCATGTAATCCCAAAGTTAATTTTTGCTGCGTTTAACTAAGGTGCCGAGATCACATACGCCTAGAAAAGCGAGGCCCAAATGCACGCTCCCACAGCGTCTTGTTAGGTAGATGTCAGAAAAATGTCTGGGGAGGAAGAACAGCAAAGGGCAAAGCAGTTTTTCTTTTTCGCTTTTCTAAAAGTAACATTAAAAAAATTCCCTATGAAAAACTATGATAAAATTAAAAATAACTTTACTGTTTATAAACCTCGCGATGCTTCTTATTGTTCTAAACAGTAATAACATGCTCTTAATTTATAACAGAGCGCCTTTTACTGCTTTAAAATCTGTGATCGAGGCTCCTATATGATCACCTTGATTCAGAGATAAGTAAAGTTCAACGTCCATTAAGCAGCCAGTATTTAACCCTTTCACTGCCAAATTTAGCCAAAAGCAAATGTCGAGCAAAGTTTCCAAATTTCATCTTGTGAAATTTTGAAAAACAAATAGCACACGGTGAAAGCACTACTGAAGAGATTTCATTTGAATGGTCACACCATAGGATTTCATCCACAGACTCAAAAGTTAGAACTACATACTAAATAAATAGTACCGGGTGAAAGTACTGCTGAAGAGGTTTCATTTGAATGGTCACACCATAGGATTTCATCCACAGACTCAAAAGTTAGAACTACATACTAAAATAAATAGTGCCATGTGAAAGTACTGCTGAAGAGGTTCCATTTGAATGGTCACATAATAGGATTTCATCCGCAGACTTAAAAGTTAAAGTCACCTTACACCATCGAGCACTCTGGAAGTGAAAGAGTTAAAGTCCCCAATTAATTTTAGAAAAGAATGGAAAATTAAACCTCTATTAAGCGGCTGCAGCCACCTTTTAGCCTTCCCTACAAGAGTTCTCTCATTGTTGTCACCTCTATTAAGTGGCCATCAAGTGCTTGATACACTTAGTTCAAGAATATGATAAAGGAAATTAAAATACATTCCTGGATAGAGGTGACGACCGATTGTGGACCAGTAATAATAAAGCTCCCTTCGCGTGTTTGTTTCAAAATAAAGTGATGTTTCCGCTAAAGATTAATATACTAGTTTATGACGAACCTCTATTGAGGGCCAACCTCCATTAAGCCAAGTTGAGCTGCCACCTGCCAGTACCCCGAGGGTGGCAGCTTAATGGGGTTCAACTGTGATTAATTTCACTTCTGCCACTATGTATTCTATTTGTTACATGTTATATCCACTGCTGTGGCAACGATTTTTCTGCAATGTTTCATCTCGAAAGAACATACCCACACTACGTAATGCGAGAGAAGGCAGCCACTGAAAGATTCTTAACAATCCCACAAACGGAGTTTTAGAAGGCGTGGTGTAGACAATGATATAAAGATCGCAGTATCACTACATGTTTTGCCATGTAATGCTTGGGTTTATTTTTATTGGCTTTAGAATTAGCCTGATGTCAATCGTCATTTCTTGCAATCCGAGTAGTAACAGTAAGAAGTTGCTCAGGCAAATTTGTCGGTTTGTTGAGCTGCTTAAGTATAGCAAACTGATTTGGACGTTTTGTAAAGAGAAATTAAAAAGATATAAGATATTCAGGATAGCACTGGGTATCGTAAAAAACAACGAAAATGGCTGGGTCTCCTGGGTCATCAACCACAGAGTCGAAAAGAATCTCGGGCCTGGAAAGTATCTTTGGTGGAGGTATGATCATCCCAGAGTTGCCTTGACAATATTTCCCGACCAGTACTCGGGCAAGGTAAACGTAGTGAGCCCCAATCACGGCACCCCTTGCATATTTAACGGAGAAAGATGCATCTCTGGCGAAATACACACCGCGTCCATAGGAAGTTCCTGGAAGAAAAATTTAAAGGAGTTATTGCTCTAGTCCAGTGACCAGTCAATCTAGGCATTTTTGAGGCTCAACATCAAACTCATTGCAAAAGAATTGTTTTCAGCGCCATTTAAGTAGGCGTGGCCTATCTAGCAACATACTTAAAATCCCTCCATAATCCGTTCGGTAAAACATGTTAAAATTAAGCGTCAAACATTTTGAGCTTTTAATACAGGACACCCACGTTAGTTGAAATTATACGTTCAAACGAAAAATGCACAAAATCAGTTTGTTACTTTGATGAAACCTTTATAAAAAGTGTTAGCTTCTACCTAGTTTTCGCTTCTTTTTTTGCGAAAAGGATAAATATTAAACACGGTTGGCTATTTCACAGAAAGCCCATGCTCTTTTCAAGAAACCTCAAAATAACAGGGGGCTTATAAAGTAATAGAGTGAACTGTTAGCTGTAAAATAACAACAAATTTAGTCGTAAGGCTTTAAATCTGAAAAAATGAAAGCCGTTACTGAATTATTAGCTTGGAAACTGTAAATCCTTTTCTTAAATCAGATTTCTGTTAGCTGCAAGGGTAAGAAAAATATATATCTAGCTGGATTCTAGCCTGCGAGAGCAGGCGTTCCTTTCGGCAATCGTTTCACCGTCCGAGAATAATATAGGGTAACGGAACATTCATCGCATGAGAACTTTGGTTCCAGCAAAAGTTTGTTTTAAGCAAAAGAAATAGTAATATATAGGTTTAGCCAGGGCTAAAAGTGAGGCTCCCATTAATAAATTTATAATTTAAATCAAACAACAAACTTGTATTCCACAATTCAGTTAACTTTAGAGCACATTCATGAGACTTTTCAGGGAAAGGCTACGTAATTTTAGAGAAAAATAATTTGCAAACAGCCCAAGAATGAAACAAATCTTACATCGAGTTGATAGCCTCATAAATACACCCAAAAACTGGCAATCATCTTCGATCACATTTATTAAGAGTCTGGAAAAAAAATCCGGCCAAATTTTTTGCGTTCGACAAGTTTACTTTACAAAATCTTGCCAACAAATCTGGGTGCGTGTAAACCAACCTTTTATATCATTTATACATCGCATCTGAGGTGAAACAGTACTTCGAGGCACTGTTTTTATCATACAGACCTCGGACAGAATGCAGTGTTTCACAATTTTGCAATACAAATTTCTTTCATTCAATATTCAGGACGATCGAAGAACGCGTGGCCTTTAGCTAAATTTCCAAAATCACCTATACGGCCAGCAGGTTTTCACTTTTGCAGTGCGAGCTGTGGCGAGTGTTTGAATGAACATTAACATAGTTACGCTCCATCATAATAAAGAATTTATGTTTATTTTTATTATAAAATGGTTTAACGCGCGGCATTTTGAGTACTCCTGGAAGCGTTGTTCACTGAACGACTGAAAACAATCGGCACAGCTATTAAAATTACAAGAGATACCACTAACAATCAGTAAAAGAATTACAATTCGGTGAAACATATACAGAGACAACAATTTTCATTCAGGAAGACAAGTATTAAAGTGTCTCTAAAAATCCCGAGTCTTAAAGCTTAAGTTAATGTTTTAAGCCGGCTAGCTTCCCGGTGTTAACTTTTTTCAAAGACGAACTCCAGGCAAGAAAATCGATCAAAGGTTTCTTTTATAGCCAGAAATATAACTAAATATTCTTTGGAACGTTTTCTCTCTATTTGCTGTGAGAAAATGTCTAAAGGCTTTTTGTGCTTCATGTTCCTTTGCATATTACGAAAGTTATTGATGTTGGCGGAGTCTCGCTTTGGGCGAGCTCTGTTTGCTGTGACACAAAATAATCACAAACCCATTATGGGATATTTTAGCCACGGGAGTGACCGTTATTAAATTAAAGCATATAAAGCTGGGAAAACCAGATACACAAGAACATTATCCCAGTAAAGGTGAAGGCACTCCCGCCGCAGCCCAGCAAGGAACGAGTGAAAGGGCCGCCCCACCCAAGGCCAAAGCAAGACGACCGCCAACAGAAACTACTGGTACCTACAAATAAAAATGTACAATGAAAAACGGTGTGCACCGCCTGATACGAAAACCCGAAAAACCACATGAGAAAAATTGGGAACGTATCCCTCAACCAATGTAGTCACACAAAACCTCTGGGGGTTAAAGGTAAGAAAGATACCACATTAAAAATAAAAAGGGTCAATATGCGAGAGCTGAGATGAATATACATGTATTATAATCATCCAGCCGTGCACACCTTACAACAATAGTCAGTCAACTAGTGCCATAACGGCTCATGTGTGTTCATAGCAATAGGACATTGTATACATTCTTTGTCACTGTCACTTATATACAGCTTAGTTCCACTACCAGTTTAGTTCAGTGGAGGTTATGCACGTAAACATATAGAAAAAGAATGGTAAGGCTGTTTACATGCCCTGCTTACTGAGATGGATCAGTGCAACCAACAGAAATGTATAAAGTTTGAATGAATGTGAGGGGTGTATAGCCCTTGCTCACACTGCCATCGTATCTGATGCAGATCAAAAAGTGTGAATCACTTAACTAACAGTTTAAAAGTTAAAATTAATGAGATAACTGTGCGGCCCTTGTTCACACAGCCATCATAAATTCACTTATTCACTAAGCACTGGGTAGCTTATAACAAACCTGATACTCGGTCAGATCATTGTCTCAATTAAATCTTACAAACGTGCGTAAACAAAATAACCGCATAAGCTACGCGCGACTTCATTAAATTAGAAATAAGAAAACAAACATCAAATACAATAATTATTAGGCTTACCACTGGAGATGCAGCTCCTGAAAGGTATCAAGTAAGGCTAGTATCGCAACCCTCTTACGCATCAAGCAAGGTGAAAACGAAATCGATGCCAGACGTAGTTCTCAACCAAATACCCAATAAACAAATTAGCCATAAATAAAAGAAGACTCCTGATAGCAGCTGAATTTCATTTTGTACATCCAGTGGAAAAAGACACTTAAAAACATCACAAGTTGACACAAAACTCGGTCAGCTTCAGCTGTCAAAGTAAACAAGATTCAAGATGCTGCATAAATTTTCCGCACGAACGCGCCTGTCAAATTTTGACCAATCAGAGTAAAAAAATTGGACGTAGAGTGTGACCAACGCGTGAACATGGTGAGAAAAGTTAAAAGCAATTGTCTTCCCTGCCCGTAGCAGCTGGCTGAATTTTCGCTTCCGAGGTCAGTTCGAAATCAAAATTTTAATTGTGCGGCACATAAACACAACATATTTCATATAAACTTTATATAAACTTGAGCCTGCGATCATTTGAAAACTAGTACCTTGTCAACGGATAACTTCAAAAAATACTTGACCTCGATGGGTCGACACCTGAGCCCGCGATACGATCAATTGATACTGGTCAGCGGATACCCTGTTTTGACAGCTGTCAATTGATCACAACGTTGATGTCCAATATGTGTATCAGTTTTCCTGTACTCCCAAACTAGCTAGAAAGTATGAGCTTGAACATGGATTTCGATCTATCTAGTAAAACAATTAACTGGTCAGCGGACAGCTTCCAAATAAATCACGTCACCTCGATGAGTTGACACATGAGCCCGCGATATGGTCAAGGGATACTGGTCAGTGGCTATCCTGGTTTGATAGCTGTCAATTGACTATATTGTGAATGTCTAATATAAAAGATGTGGACTTGCCACGACACGCCTGAGACACCCCTCCCTTCCTTTTGATAGTCTACCCTACCCCACCCAATCTGTAGACGCGTACGTACGTACGTACGTACGCTCGGTCAATCACGTGACAACGAAGCGAAAAGTGGTTGACCATATTCTATGAGTATGGGGCTCTGTCCCCGCTGTAATATATAGGAAAGCAGTCTGTTAAGGTAAAGATTAACTCTGGGAAGCCGAAACAATGCGCATATAAAAATATCTTGCAAGAGTCTGTGGAGTGATGCAAACTCCTCACGCAGCGTAGCCGACGGTTAACATGCAGTGACTTGAAGTGTTACGCAACCCTCATCTGAAGAGAAACATAGATTCCGCTAAAAGAGGTGAGCCATAAGCTTAGTCAGGCCTTTGGTGTCGTACATATGTCCAGTACTTTCGCGCCTTCATTGACCACTGCGATTATAATTTTCAGACGTATAGGATCCCATGATCGTTATAGAAAAAGAGGTCTTCATTTGCCGATGGACGATAGAAACTGAGAAACTGGTTGCAATAGGCAGTTCAGGGCAGTTCTCACAAAAGAAATGCGAGAAGGGAATATAAAAGATTTGAGACCATAGAGCCTTAATTTATCAATTCATCTTACCATGAAATGTAGGGATGTCGAGAAACTACAACTGAACACACAAATACAATAAAGTTAATCTGAGACTCGCTACAAGAAGAATTCCAAAATAATAATAATAATAAAAAGAACAATCAGTGCACCTGGTTTTCTGGCCGGATTTCCCTTACAACGGAGTCGTCCAGGTGTAATGAAAAGCGCGGAGCGTTACCATCTTTATAGTAATTAAAATCAAATGGACGTAGTCCTAAGCAGAATATTTGAAAGGAGGTTACGAGTGTCGGGAGAAAAAACAGAATCCCAGTTTTCGATCACACATATTGTGTTCAAGGTTTGAACATAACTACTTCACAAAACTCAATTACAGAAAATTGGAATAGGTTAAACAGTTTGTACTGATACAAAGCCATCGTCGGTTGCACCCATTTCGTCTCACGAATCCTGCAGCATGGATGCAAATTTAGTAGATGACTGTTGGTGAACAGTTTGATGTAATATATCAAACATGAGATGCAGTGTTTCATCACCAGATGAAACACCGAGAAGAGAGTTGAAAATACGACGCGCAGCGGAGTATTTTTGACGAACTTCGAGGTGTTTCATCTGGTGATGAAACACTGTGTCGAATGTTTGATATTTCTTCTCAAACAAAATCATTTTTGAAGGAGAAATTAAGGATGCAAATACTAAGCAGTGTTTCATCCGATTTCCAAACACTCATTAAACATTCATTTCCTTTGTATTTTCTTAATGAATTATTAATGAGTTTGAGAAGTAATATATCAAACATGAGACGCAGTGTTTCATCACCAGATGAAACACCGAGAAGAGAGTTGAAAATACGACGCGCAGCGGAGTATTTTTGACGAACTTCGAGGTGTTTCATCTGGTGATGAAACACTGTGTCGAATGTTTGATATTTCTTCTCAGACAAAATCATTTTTGAAGGAGAAATTAAGGATGCAAATACTGAGCAGTTTTTCATCCGATTTCCAAACACTCATTAAACATTAATTTTCTTTGTATTTTCTTTATGAATTATTAATGAGTTTGAGAAGTAATGTATAACAGCCATTCTAGCGACAACAACAACTTAACAGCAACGAACTTTATTTGCAAAAGCTATTTTTAAGAATCAAAATTACATCACAGGGCAATTACGTTACTTTGATAATACTTTGTCACGAACATCAAAACAAGCAGAAAGCTAAGTAATTAGAGGAGTTCAACAGTTCATTGATAACTACTGGGTAATATTTGGAATCAGAGTCTTGACTTTATTCTTTAAAAGTTATCCCCAATCATAGAGTCTGTAGGAGAGTGAAAAAGAAAGTGAACTTCGTCTTCTGTTAGATTGGATCCACAAAAAGAGCAATGCCTATTATCCTTCGTAGTTTGATTTTGTCTTGCCATTTCTATCATTAGTTTGTGGTTGCTTATTCGTATAGTTTCACTAAGCCCTTTTCCCAGCTGTTCCTCTTGTTAAGTCTAAGTAATCAGAGGTGGTATGATCGGTTTTAAAACATCTATAAATTCAAGTTTTTGAGAATGTTGAAGGGTGTTTTGCCAATATGAGATATATTCCTGTTTCATTGTACTTACTTAGCTTTTTACCATAGCGATATCTAATAAATCAGGGTTAAAGTCAGGAAGGTTAAAATATTCTGACAGTCGTCAAATGAGAGTGGAAGCTATTTTTGCCATAAACTATTAAAATATATACAGTGTACTATATTTCTGTTATTGGTCTTTTTGCCCAGTTTTTTCACTTTCCACCAAATGATTTTTGGCGGATTTTTAGTATGTTGTTAAGTAGCCATCCAACAATAAAACGGCGTTGAAAAACATTCTGCTGCTACTGACTAGTTTGATGTTAAACCACAATTTGACTGGACTACGCTGCTTTCAGTCTGTTTAATGGTACTGGTGAGTCAGCGCTTACCTAAATCTGCACGAACAAGGTTAAAAGAAAAAATTACCAAAGCAATTAAGACAGATTTTGAGACCCAAGGTCAAGTTTACTTGGCGGAGCATGTATTAATTAAAAACCAGCCCATTTAAGCAAACTCCTTTCCAAAAGTTGTAACTTACCATGCGCCCCACAAAAACTCCTGTTGAATCCCTGTGTGTTTATTGCACGTATATTTTCAGCGTAAGTCCCATGGAACAGCTGCCGTTCGTTGTTTCCTCCATTGTCTTTGTCCATTTTCTGCTTTCGTATCATGTACTGCTTGTAAAGATGGGGATTCTGAACCCGCTCTATTTTCGGGAAATGCATTCCACCAGTGGTTGCTTGAAATTTGCTCACAACATTTTGATACTCTGAGGAGCCTGGGACGAGAGTCACAGTATGTACTGTCATATCAGGGCTTGGCATTGGAGCCCAGGAGATTGGAAGAAAAATTCCTTTGGGAGAAAAAAGTTACTCTGAGTTTTACTTCTTAGAAAGAGTGAATATTAACTCATAGAGGATACTGGGCGGTAGAAAAATGTCTCGATCATCCATGACGAATTTCAATACAGAAGTCTACCATGTCTAAAGCTATGGACTGGACTGATATAATGATACAGGAGTTTTGAGTAGAGTCGTTGTTGTATACCTCACGGAGTCAAAAGGATTGTGGTTAGGCATGTGGAACACTCCCGGGACCCCGTATCCCTTAGAATTCTCCCAAAATCAAGTTGATGGTGTTTTGAGAGCCCGTTAGCAACCCTGAAGGAAAAAAAAAAAAACAAGTCACATCCTATCATCTTACGAGACAAGAAGGAGGCCCATGAATCACTGATTGGTATCAAAATAATATCGTAACATTTCGTAACATCATCCTTAACCTTGAGGGCTAGAAAAATACCCCCCCCCTTAAAATCATTGTGCTCCCCCACTGGCCCCTAAATACAAGATTTAAAAAAGGAACTCAGGAGGCCCTGGGATGATAAAGTTTCTTTGTCTCGAAAAAAAAAATCGAATTCCGGTGAGGGATGATAAGTCTGCAGCTCTGAGAGACGTGACATTTTGAGATGATTAACATGAAAGCACAGTAGCTCCAAAGGCCGATCGCAAAGGTCTTTGGCGCATTTTCTGTGTCCATTATTTCTTTTTTATTGACATCGAATTTTCCCAAGCGATTTTTGCCTGTCATTTCATGCTGAAACAAACTGATTTCCAATATCTGCTCTGTTCAGTTTGTTAGTTATTTCCTTGTGAACGTGGATAATCATGCAGTGATTCACTCTTTCTTGCGATTTGAGGCTGAGTGCGCACTCACATTCGTGGTAGGTACCACAAGGAGGTAACTTCAGAAGAGTTAAAAACTGACGGCTGCACTGGAGAGGTTTCTCGGATATGCCACTTCATCGTTCAATCCAAAGTCTGTCTAGGCACCAAGCTGCTTGGCAAGCGCTCTGAGAGTTTCACGGTAGCTATGGCCACAGCGAATATTGCGCTCCAAGTCGGAAAGATTACGACTAATCACGAAAAACCATATAAAATGCCAACTGCCGTTTTGTTCCGCCATTTTGTGCCAAATAAAATCGTGACGTCACAAGCACCCCCAAATTTGGGTGTTCTCTGTTGAAGCAAAGCGACGGTCATGTTCCGTCATTATTAAGGATCAAAACTTGTCACTGGTTGATGACAGGATTTTTAAGACTACGGAGTAACAAAAGACTTGCAGGCGATGAAAAGATCAGTCTTGACTTTATTTCTTACCAGTGGTCAATGTTTCTCCGTAGTCTTAAATATCTTCTCATCAGTAAGCGACATACAATAATGACGAACATGACCGTCGCTTCGCTTCAACAGTAAAATATCTAACCCACAACGGCAAAACTTTCAAATTAAGAACGAAACTAAACGAGACAAAACTTATTCTTCTACTGTATTTTTTGATGCTTCTTATCCGAAAAAAAATGCAATTGACTGAAATAAGAGCTGTACGTCTAGGGAAGTCTTACACCGTAATTTTCAAGGAGTTATAATCACTTCTCTAGTGGGGCTAATGTAACTCCTTACAGTGGAGTTTTTTTGGGGGGAGTTATTTTAACTCCAAAAAGGAGTTTAAAGAACTCTTTTTCAGGAGTAAAAGTTACCCCAGATATTGAGGAGTTAAAATAACCCCCAAAAAGGATTTATCCTGTACCTAAAAGTTTTACTCCACTTTCAGAGTTAAATTAACTCCAAAAAGAGCAAAAACAACCAATGTAAGGAGTAAAAATAACCCCATTTCGGAGCTATTTAACTCTAGACTGGGAGTAAAAAGAACTCTTTTTCAGGAGTAAAAATGACCCCAAATTCAGAGTTAAATTAGGAGTTAAAGTAACCCCCCGAAAAGGGGTTAAAATCCTTTACCTAAAATTTTTACTCCATGTTTGGAGTTATAATAACTCCCTAAAAATCACGGTGTAGAAGCAAACCAACGACGTAAATGAAAAACTAGAAGGAAAGCCACTGTTGAAAATGAAATGAAACTAAAACTAATGAAAACTTAATGAAATAATGAAAACTGGTTAACTCAGAACTGTTCTATCAGTATGCACTAACCTTCTTCAGCTCCCCTGGCCTTTCTAGAAAGTTTAATAGTCTCACCATTCCGCATGCCGTGGCCAGTTTTAGCTTGTAAATTCATAACAAAGTCATCTGCTTGTAAAGATATCCTTATTGTGGATTGTTTCTTGCTGTACGCCATCTCAAGCTTTCCATTTGTCCTCGGACTAAACAATTTTTTCTTACCATGTATTTCATAACTCCATTGTACGTTTTTTGAAACCATTATCGCCTGCTCGTCTTCCTGTATCTTCTTGTTTTTCCAGTAAATAGTGTGCCATATCTTCCCGACCATCCCTAGCACTTCAAGAGGATCACCTCGTACCACTATGCAATCTACATCATCCTCGATTTCGAGTCTGACGTCACGCTCTTGGGCTTTCCTTCTCACATGTTAATCTGCTTTCGCGTCAATTTACGGACGGTTTCATTCTTGATTTTTTGAGTGGTGCAAGCTTTAGAGAAACCTTTCTTCAAACTTCCACAGCTTTGCTTACACTTCCCTTATCCTTTCCTGTCACAAAAAGTTTCACAGAATAATCGCCTGTTGAACTCAAATTTGTTTCACTATTTCTCGTCAGCTTAACAGCTTTACAAAAGGAATCAGTTTGCTGCTCGCTCGTATTATGGACTACCGCCCGCTGTCGCTCTTGCAAAAAATCCGAAACCATTTGAGCTTGAAAGACCACAATGCGCAGGTGGCGAACGTTTTTACAACTTTTGCTGAACGAATCCAGAGCTTTGAATGTTACTTGTGCAGAGTCTGACGCAGACAGATTAAATCCACCAGGGCCAACGCTTGGTATTGAGACTGTTTGAAGATTGTTTTGATCCGCCAGGCGAAGGCCTTCTTCCAGACACGCCTGGAGGTGGATCTTATCTTGGGACCCTGAAAGTAAGAATTTCAAAATCGATATAAAAAATTAACAGATTGTACTTACAATAAAATAGCTAAAGAGTTGGCAAAGATCATTCATTTAAGAATTTGTTCATGCTTAGCATGCGTATATCGAGTTATTGCCTAATTTCATACCGCGCAGAGGCCTGGCACTACCGGATTTTCCCGGACTTTTTAAAAAGTCCAGTTTCAAAATGGCGGATAGTCGGAGTAATAACTCGAACGAAAGCACTCCTTTTCGAAGAAATATTGATCAATATTCCCTCGGAGAATCTGTCTAAACTTAGTAAGGAAAGGATGCAGTACTTCTTTCATGCCCTGAAGCTAAACTTAAGGAGCCGACACTCAGCAAGTGCAAGCAATTGTTCCATGAGCAGGTCGCTCGAACCAAACATGATCAGGGGCGGATCCAGGATTTTTTTTAGGAGGGGGTGCACTCGTCTCTTGCTCTACTTCAACACCAATAAACCACATAGTTTTTTTTTGCAGTATACCAGTTGTATCAGAAAACCGCAGGTCATCTCGGGGGGGGGCACCCCTGCACCCTCCCCCTAGATCCGCCCCTGATGATTATAAATTTTCTACAGCAAAGGATCCTCTGTTTAATTCTACCTGCATATGAAAAGTAGAGGATCATTGCAGGAAAGAACAAAAAGTGATTGTGCACGTACCGATCGTAGCCTAAGTATGCTGGAGCAAAACTTAAAAGGGCGGTACAGAAGGGCTTACCTGGATTATTCCCGTCGCGGAAAAGAGTGATGTCCGTGAAAGGTACTGAGTGTAGTGAACATTGTGGCGTTTTGTATGTTAAACCTAGTGTTGTTCACATGAAGGGAGATAAGGGACTAGTCTATACACAGTGTATGCTAGCCAAAAGGTAGATGTACGTGACATTCTTGATTGTGATTACAAGCTGATTGCCCAAATTACAGGAACTGCAGTGTTACCGGACGAGAAATGCCTCTCAAGTAAGACTGAAGGATACTTGCTTTTATCCATTTTCAGTGACAATTGTTTCCGGTCTGATCTTTAAGATTTCTACTGAGGCCGTACACAGCGACGGGGAGAAAATCTAATGTAAGCCTTGCCGACCTAATATACAATGTTGCCCTTTCACTCAGGGTCACTCTGGCGTGTTTCGCTTTTTGGTAGTTTTTATTTTACGGTTTGTAAAAACAGGTACACCCACTCCCTTATCATTCCCCAATATTCGGTCGGATCCAGCGCTGTAAAAAGAGCCAAACTCGACGGTTCTTTGTTCAAATTTGTCGAATAATTCGGGAATCCTTCCAATACTTATGCATCAGTCAATTCCACCTGCGCCCAGCCCCCCCCGGGCTACTGCGGGGCATTTACCCGCCTTGTCAGTCCCGGGGGTGGGGCATTTGCAAATTTTGCACTGCCCGGGGGCCGGGTATTTGCCAACCCCCGGGCCATTCCCGAGCTTTTGACACGCACGCGGTTTCCTATCAGAATATAACTACACAGAAGGTTTTACTGGAAAAAAAAAGCAGATTGGCTCATCTGTCAAGGACAGGAATAAATTGTAGAGGGTTGTAAAGGCATGTTCACGATTTTACATGTATGTATGCATTTCTTCATTGCTTATCAAGCCAGAATTACATAGCGAAATTGGAGCTATCGATGTGAATCAACGTTTTTTTGTTATTGAATCAAGTTTCTGTTGATATCATTTGAAGAACACCCTTTCATATTTATAAAACTATTCATAACAAATAACTTTACAGCGCTCTGTTAATTTTAATGTCAATACTTTTATATCAATACTAAAACCATAAACTGGTGCATGTCGTCGCGGCGTGAAGTCTTAGTTAGAATCCTAGCGCTATTATACAAAGGAAGACGTTAATTGAAACAAAAAATCGCACATTAAAATGGCACTATTGGACTGTGCGATCAATAAAAAATGTTGCACTGTTGACGGAGGACGGGGCATTTGCCCTCTTTTTTCGTCCCCACCCCGGGGGATTTGCCAGCTCAAGAGTTCCCACCCCCGGGAATTTGCCATCCAAGGCAAAAAAAATGCTAATTCCCGGGGGTCAGCCCGGGGGGGGCCTGGGCGCAGGTGGAATTGACTGGTGCATTACGAGTACCGAAAGGCTCTCATTAGATCTTTCTTATCTCGAAATTTTTAATCGAGGCTCTTTACAGCAGTAAAACAACTGTTCTTAGCTTTAGAATATTAACTTTCTGGAGTAATCTGGCCCTTAATATCGTTTCAACTGCACGCAATGACCTTTGCTTTACCTTCTATTTTGGAAGCCATTTTCAATCCCGAATTTAAAAAGTCCGGGAAAATCCGGTAGCGCCAGGCTTCCGCGCGGCATGAAATTAGGCAATGGATGCACGCGGGAAGTCAGAGCACGAAAGATGCGTAAGAGTTGCACGAGGCGATAGCCGAGTGCAACTCTAGCTTCTTGAGTACTCTCCAACAAACTTCCCAAGTGCTTCCATAACTCGATATACGCACAGCTAAAAGCATGAGCAAATTCTTTTATAACATAGCTGCCAAAAATGCTTGCTTTTCGATTAACTTCAAAATTCTCGTAACGCGCGACACAGTAACAAACGCTTCTATTGGCTGATTACAAACACGCCACAATGGTCTAGTTTGAATGAAAATTCTTTCTGTAAAACTGAGAAAGAAAATTTGCTTATTTATTCGTTAACGATCAACGAAAACTAAAAAGAAACAAAGGTAAAAGAGTCTTAAAGTCCACCTAAAGTGAAAATGCTCACATGTTCGTAAGAAGTCGTGGAGTATGGTTTGGATTTGCTTAAAAGATGTTTATGTTTTGCTCGGCGAAATCCAGAAAACTTGTTTTTCAGCGAAGACGACTGTCATCCTACGTTAACCTTATATTCATTTACGAACAATGGCTGGTCATTACGGCTTCTTGAGAAGACCTGGCAGCAGTTGTTTTTGTGAGTAATAAATTTAAGTCTACTTGTGTAATTTTTCTTGTTATTGCAAGAGAAATATTTTTCCTGCTTTAGTGGGATTGTTCGGCGATAACAAAAGTGTATAATTTTTTGCTGTTGAGCTTACTTTATAATTAACTTGTTTGTAGGATATAAAACAAACGTTAAAGATGGAGGACACTTGTACAAATTGGATATTTTCCGACACAGACCAATTTGTCTTTTTCCAAGTAAATGTCAGTCTTTACGGCAGACGTTTCAACGAATCATTGTGGCTCTATTATTTGCGAAATATCTTCACCGCTTTTGATGTTGCTTTGAGTAGCTCAGTAGAACGAAGCTAAATTCCAAAAAAAGTCTAGAAAGTTTTTTATCATTGCCATCGATTTTTGGGTACTTAGGAAAAGGGACGAAAAACACAGCTGAACACGTCATCTTATTTACGCACTGGCGTGCGTAAATAAAGATTTTGTTCATAGCGGCTCAATAGGACTTATATAGGGCAAGCACGCGCGCTATGTTATAAAAAACACTTTAGCTCTGAAAAGCTGTAAAAAGAATGTGAAAAACTAAGGTGTTTCAATTGGAGCACTGAAATTATCCACAAAGAAAATGCAACAATTTCACTTAAAACTAAAAACGTAGTATTTCAGCTGACGAAGGACGTAAAAAGGGTTTTAATTTTAAATCAACATCTATTTTTTCATTAGGTCATAATTGGGGGAAGGCCGTATTTATATGGTTCTTTGGTAAAACGATTGTGGCATGTTTCCATAGTCGATAATATGCTGTGCGTCAGGTCAGCAACGTCACTTGGAACCATTGTTTTTCTTAATAAGACGACCTACTAAAGAACATTTAACATACCTGGAATTATGTGAATTATATGACGTGCTGCCAAGTTTCCTCCACTAGTCATTACCGCTGTCCCAGGTGGTTGCTCACCATATTGACTGCATTCTTGTTGGATCTGTGGGCCGCCAGCTTTTAAGATGGCTTTGCTTAGATCACCAGCGTGGCTCAAGTTCATATCCCTGCTGTTGATGTTTATAATGGCGTCTGTGTTCTCTTTTGTCAAATCGCCTTTTATAACTTGAATAGGCAATGAACAGACAAGTTGTCTCTGTTTCTCTTGTTGAAATACCTGAGGCCAAGAAGCTCTGTGCTTGGATTGCAAGGCAGCCATCTCTTGCGCAAAGGCAGTGTTAAGTGCCTTATCTTGGTGAAACACCACAAATCGAATATCTTTCACTGCAGATGAAGTATTTGTTTGGCAAAAATTGATGGTTTCCTCTAACATGATCCTGGAAGCTGTGGCAGGAGAAAACCTGAGGTTTCCAGTGCCTATGACTGGAAATGCTATTGATACTCCTCCAAGCTCATCAGCCTTCTGTAGACATTTTTGGACGATGCCTCGTAAGACCTAAAATACAACTTTAAAAGTGAATTCAGTG